GCGGCCAGTTCTTGGTGGCCGCGAGCTCGCGATGGAGATGGTGGTCAGCAGCCTGTCGGCGAGCGCTCATCGCGTTGAACGTCACCCAGTCCTGCTCGCCACGAATGCCTCGCAACGTGGCCAGCGCCTCCATGTCGACGGCGTCGGACGTGAATAGGCTGCTCACGTCGCCGAAGTCCTCTAAAGGGATGACGCCGTCGGTGTTGATCTCGTCCATGTTGTACTGCGCGTACTGGCCAGCGATGTGGGGCGATTGCCACACCCGCCAAGGGGCCATGTGCTTGCTGCTGGAAGAACGCGACTCGGAGTCCCTGACTTTTGACAATGCATCCTCGATGAGCTTGTCATTGCCGAAGCCGCTGAAGAGCTTCCTGACGTACGATACGAGGGACGGGCACAGCTGCCAGCCCACCGAGCTCGCGAAGCGGCAGAAGTCTCTCGTGGGCCTGACGTTCAGGCTGTTCCGCGCGACCATCGGCTCGACGATCGGGCTGGTGACCCTGCGAGCGGCCAAGAAGGCCTCCCAGTCCACGCCTTCGAATTCGGAGGCGATGCCTGAGCAACGCATCCGAATTCATCGGGGCGAAATCAACACAAAAAGACAAGGGAGGACGTAGTGAGTAGGAGGAGGGGTGCCAGGTCTCAGTAGGAGGAGTGGGCGGAGGCACGGGTGCGAGGGGGCCAGAATAGGAGTGTAGGAGGATGACACGGACGGTGGTAAGGAGGGGGTGTAAATGAGGAGGCTGGAGGAGAAATGAGGTCGGAGGAGTGGCCTCGGGAAGTTCGAGCAGCCCTCGAGACCAGGCCAGCGGCACTTAACCCAGGGGGTGGGGCCCAGAGGGCGGGGGCGAGGCTGAGGAGCGAAGGAGAGGAGGAGGAGGAGGAGGAGGAGGATGAGGAGGAGGACGAGCTCAAGCCCCCCAAGAATGGCATCGTCTCCTGATCGGCCGTCCCCCTCCCACCCTCCCCTATACACCATCCTCGCACCCCTGTGGCCCATCCCACACTCCTCCTCGCCGTCACCCCCCTTCCCATCATCATAATACCTCATCCCCCAGTGTCCGCTCTCCTCCCTCCCCTCCATCTCCCATCCGACTCCACCCCAGGCCCTTGGATCGATACCATTCACACGCGTTGTTTGCAACGCCCAGGGTGCGTAGCGATGCCAAGCACGTCGCAGCCGCTGTTGGACAGGTGCCTGCAATCGGCGCCAGCGCGTAGGGGTAGGTCCACGAGCACCTGGCCATGCTGGCCGCCCTCTCCGACGCAATGCACACGAAGAGCTCGTGCATCTGCTCGGCGAGCGAGTTCTCGTACGCAACCTTGGGGTGGTTCACGTTGAGGCGGGTCCGCAGCTCGGGGTCGAACTCCACGGTGAAGCCGATCCGCTTGAGCTGCGCAGGGGAGTTGAGCATGCGGTACGAGTTCTTGAGGGTGTCGAGCCAGCTGAAGTTCGCAATGCCAACGTAGTAGGCCAGCGTGGCATCGGATCCCTTCATCTCTGTAGCTACGGAATGCTCGCGCTCCAGGGGCCCTGCCACGCATATGATCATCCTGCTCTTCACGATCAAGTCGGGGTTCGCCATGGCCTTGGCAAGCACGTGGAGCTTATTGGCCGAGGCCCTTAGCATGGATGATATCTTGGCCTTCGCGGATGCCTTGGCCTTTGCAGCCGCTGGCGCCTTGGCTTTCGCCTTGGCGTGGGCGTCGGAGGAACTTGAAGCGCCTCCAGCTGCACTGCCCGCGGCGGAGTAGGGCACAATCGCCAATTGGCTAGCAGCCGCCAGCCTCGGACCAGGATTCCAGAGGTCGTCCCAGTTCTCGGACCAGCCCTTCTTCATGGCGATGGCTGCGAGGACCAGCAACTTCGTGCGGTAGTGGATGTCCCCCTCCCTCATGCACTTCAGGATGGAGAACCAGCGTTTGACAGCGGCCTTGCTGCCCTTGATCTGGAACGGGGCTTCGCACGCGAACGTCTTGATGAACCTCGCCCGCGCCTGTGCATCTGTCTGCCATGGCGTCGTCCAGGAGTGGTCGGTGCAGATGCGCGGCCATAGCTTCAGAAGGAGGGGGTCATCTGGAGACATCGCCTGGACGAGCTCCTTGGCCACGTCCTGCATCTCCTCGAAGAACTGCCCATTGAGCCATGGTCCGTAAGCGATGTTCGCCTCGAACAACCTCAGCAAGCACGTACCATAGCAACCTGCCTGGATCAGCCCACGATCAACGTCGTTGCAGCGGCGATGCATCTGACCAAACAGCCACACGAAATTCCCCTGGCACTTGTAACTGAGGAAGTAGGCGGCGCACCACTGCTTCTGCTCCTGGTCCATCACGACGGTCAGGCAGGCTGGGAGCGGCTGATCCCCCCAAGGGGCCTCGGGGACGTCGGTGTCCTTGGGGATCCAGTTCAAGAGGGACTTGTTGACGGACCGAAGAGCAGTCTCTGTGCAGCACAGCCAATCGAACGAAGCCATCCGCGGTGCCTCCTTCATCTTCTTGGCGCGCTTGGTTGCCACGGACGGACCTCCATGGGACTGGGCCTGGCGCTTCTTCACGAAGCTCATCATGTCCTCGTGGTGGGCCAGCTTCTCCTCCCCTGTGTAGGCGCTGCCAGCCGCCTTCTCCCTGATGCTCAGTGTCCGAAGAGCCTGAGAGCGTCTTTAAAAAAACACCTCCCTCCCCCTCCCCCCTTTCCCTCCCTCGCCTCCCCCTTCGCCGCCTCCCATCGTGGCCCCCCTCCCCCTCCTCCCACAGCCTTTTCCTCCTCCCTTCCCCCTCGCCTCCCCCCCAACCCCTTCCCCCGCCTCCCCCCCCTGGCGGGGGGGGGACCCCGGGAAACGGGGCCACTTTTGCAGCCCCGAGGGGGGTCGGGTCAGCAACGCTTCGCGGACCATGTCGGGGCGCCCGATTTGGAGACCCCGGGAAACGGGACCACTTTTGCACCCGATTTTTTACAGGGATCGCAGAGACCCCGGGAAACGGGACCACTTTTGCAGCGTGTTCCAAGACACGATTTGGGCCAACGAAGCGCGCCCAACCAGACCCCCCCCCGTGCCCCCTGGGGGTGGAGCCCGCGGCCTGCGGTGGTAGCCACATGGCTTGCTGCGACTCGTGGGAGTACAGGCCCACGAGCATCCAGTCCTTGCCGCCAGCCCGAGTGGCGTCCAAGATAATGGAGGCATTGACCATGCTGCGCTGAATGAGCCTGCCAGAAGCCAAGTACTGAGACATCGTAGTCTTAGAGAATGCCGAACCCGAGCCCGCTCGCAACTGACACTTTGTAATCCACTTCCGTTTGGTCTTGATGCGCTTCGTATCCTGAGGGGCTGCTCTGGCTTGCTCGGCCGCCAGGAACTGGGCGGGCGTCTGCAGGGAGGGGTTGTTCGCCACGGCATTGCACACCTCCATCTTGTATCGAATTGAAACCCTCCGAGCCTTAGTGCTACCCTGCCGATACAGCGGCCGCAAATGCAAAGAATTCGTGGCAGTCCAAAACGCCTCCCCCCTCGATGCTTCGACAGTGCAGGCGACCAGCTCGAGCAACGTGTCGAAGATGACCTTTGCCACGGCAAATCTGGCGGGGTTCCTGCCCTTCTGCTTCATGGCTCCGTAACACGCCAGCATCACCTGTCCAGTCGGCGCCGAAATGCTTCCACCACACAAGGCTGCAAACCGCTGTGCCAAACGATGGTTCCCTGTGGTGAAGTGCGCCATGCAGCCCGACAGGCGAACTGTGCCAACCACGCCACTGCCGAAGTCCATGGTCAAGGGAATGCCATCACCCGCCGAGCACTTGAGCAGCAACGCATCGATGAAGAAGGCTGTGTGCACGCCGACGTCGTGGTCAAGCGTCACGTGGGCTTTGCCGTTGGCCAAGCCGCAAGCGATAGCGACGCATGCCTCAGCTGTGGCGCTGAACTCCTGGTCATACATCGTCAGGTCCGTGTCGGTGAGGTCACGCTTGCTCTGGAACGCTGCGTGGCGGGCGGACCGCATCGATGCCACCAAATGGTCATCTGGAACGCCAGCGTCAACCATGTACTTGCGCAGCATAGCTTTCCTTCTGCATATCCATTCCCCGTCGAAAGCGCCACCGATCACGAAGTCCAGCACCCTGACCAAGTTGAAGCGGACGCGCCTCGGCTTTGCCAGAGCGCTGTGGTAACATTCCAGATCCACCGAGCGGTCAGCCGTATACTGAAAAACCAACGACCTGCTTGGCGTGTGAAGCAAATCATCTCGCCAGTTCGAAGTGTGCGTTGCAACGTCCATTATGTAAAGCCGAGGTATGTCGCTATCAGGTCCAGTCACGCTGTACAAAGCTTTGGTGAGGCGCTCTCGCGCCCAGAAACTCCCATCACCAGTTTTGGAACATATCTTGACCGAATCGCCCACCACGCTGAGTTGCCACCTCCCCTGCAAGTGAACTGTCTCACCTGTCCCCAAGTGCTCGAGAACGTCGCATGCCGCCGCATGGCGGAGAACAACCCAGTTACGTTCTGGTTCGAGCGGCATCCTAAGGATGATGCCGCTCGTGTCTGTGTGTTACGCATCCATCTGCTCGACGGATTGCGCCAAAATGGCTATGGCATCCTTCCCATCATCCTTGTCCTCCCCGTCTCCTCCGCTAGACCCCCCCCCCCCCCAGAGCTCACATCGTTCGTCGCCCCGACGGAGGGGTGGGCGCGTGGCCGCTAGGGCTCTCTGGAGAACCCTCATCGCAGTTGGGGGCGGAGAGGAGGAGGGGAGGATGGGAGTACGGGAGGATACGAGGTGATGAGAGGACTAGGGGAGGAGACGAGGCGTGGATTTGGAGAGGAGGCGAGGACTAGGAGAGGAGGGGTGATGATGAAGATGATTTGTTATGTTGGCTCGACCTCTAGCGCTGTGGCGCAGCACCATCCTCTCGGAGCGCGGGGGCTGGTGTGCCGAGGGACGCCTCGGCGTCGCTTGTACGTCTAGGGAACCACCTAGCCTGGGCAATTGGAGGCGGGACCTCAGTCGCTCTCTGAAACCGCAACCTCTTCTGGTGAAGACTCCTCCTCGTTCAGCTCCTGGGTGTCCTGGTCGGCCTGGAGCTCCTCCCGCAAATCGCGATCCGCGATCTCGGCAAAGACCTCGCGAATCGTGCTGCGCAGCGGCTCACCTGGCTTGACACTCATGCCGCGGGAAACCACCATCAGTAGCTCGCCAATGCAGCGATTGCCGTGCGCCTGCATGTGCTCGGCAGAGGACGGGTCGCAGCTGGAGTACTCGACTTCGAGAATCTTGAAGGTCACGGACTCGTCGAAGTGCTCCTGGACGAGGTGCTCTGCGCCAGGGACGTGGGCACCCGTCAGCGTGAGCACTTGCACCTGGCCGTTGAGGAAGTAGAAGTCCATCTGCTCTTTCATCTCCTTGTTGACGGAGATGGCGCTCCTCGTCACCAACGTACCGTGGCGGCGCAAGACCTTCCGTTTCCCCGCGCAGCACTTCTCCTGATCATCGGTGGTGCGCTTGCCCGAGCTCCGCATGACCTGCGAGGGGCGCGACGTGCGCTCGCAAAGGCAGGAATCGAAGCCCGATTGTTTGAGCCAATATGTCTCCAGAGAGTGCCTCGATACAGCTTCTGAGCGTCCCAGAAGGCCCTAAGATGGCCTCGAACTGGGCTCAAGATGTCCCCAATAGGTCACCCAAGAATGCTGATATGGCTGGTAGGCCCTCTTGAGGCCATCGCGGGGCCATCTTGGGCCCGTTTGGCGCCTTGTTGGGGCCCTCGTGGGGCCTCGTCGTGCCTTCTCTCGGGCGTGGCGATCACCCTCTTCGGGCAAATGCGGGCACATGAGGCCACCCACAGATGCCACACAAGTCTTATGAGCCCCCCCACACACCCCAAGAGGGCCTCGCATACCCTTTTGGGGCCCAAGGGGCCTCCAAGGTGCCCCCCCCAGAGGGGCCCCAAACATACGCTGAGCCAATCCATATAATCTGGTTTGGTGTTCTACTCTCCTGGGGCCAGCCTGAGGCTCTCCTGAGGCCCTCTCTGGTAATGGTGGGGCCACCTGTGGGGGGCTCTGGGGCCGCGTTTGCCCCCCTCGCGTGCAACGAACGCCCCCTTACGCTCCAGAAAACCTCAAGGCGCCCCCGCGAACGCCCAAGCAGCTCCTGGGATCCAACTGGAAACATCAATGCATTGGGGCAGCTTTGGAACCCAAGAGGGCCCCAAGAGGGTCTCAATAGGGGGCCCAAACATACACCATGCTACAGCATATCATGGATGTCGCTGTTCGGCCCTCCTGAACGCGACGTACCTGCGCATTGGAGGCGCGGCGGAAGTACAGATAACCATCGGTGGGATCATACGGCCCCGATGCGCTGGACATGTCCCTACGCCGTTTCCTGCCCACCAGCTTCAGCCCTTAAGAGGCCCTCCGCGGTTGCCCCACGAACGTCCCCAATAGGTCCCAACGAGGCCCCGCCACAAAAAGACAACATGGTCCAGGTGGCAACAGGAATGGGACCCAACGCAAATTACATGGAGCAACCTAGTGACGTCACACGTTCGTGCTGCCGCGACGCTTGTAGAGGATTCGTGCGCAATGGTGCGGTGGTGGTGATGAGTGCAATGACGATGGTTGGCCACGTGATTGGATGAACGTGCGTAGCTTCTGGTACAATCGAAGGTGAGGTCGAACCGACCTAGACGTATACTGGTGCACGCACTGGGATCCGCGAGCGATGGCACAACAGAGCTGGGCGGCAAGCGACGTGCTCAACTAAAAAATCGTCTGTCGTGGAAAACGAAACTCACATTGCTACACAACTGCGCACATGTAGCCTTCGAGTCAGATTAGCTAGGGGGCACCCCAGCTGGGAGCTCAGGTGGCGCCGCTGCGATTGGTGCCAAAGGCGCAGCTGGCGACACGGCGGCAGCAGCCGCACCTGAGGGGCCCGCAGACGCTGGCGTGGAGGGCGATGCTGGGCCACTGAAACCGTTGCTGCGCTCCACGACACCACGAAACTGGGACGCTCCGTCTGGGTACTCGAAGGGGTCGGAGGTCTGCGAAAACCCGTGGTTCGAGTCGTGGGCATCGAGGACCTTCTTCAGGTTCTGCGTGAACCCTGAGGGCTCGTCCACCAGCGTCGCCAAGTCCAGCGTGTCATTCTTGATGATCTTCAGGGCCGTCTTCGTCTGCAAAAACTCGGTCGTGTAGCCCAAGCTGATCGCCACGTCGGGGAGGAAGGCGCACCTGACCTTGGTGATGTCGTCGGGGTGCTTCGAGAACCAGCCCCACGTGTCCCAATTGGTGTGGTTAATGCCTTCCAAGGGGCGGCCGACGGCGTTGTACCGACACTTCAGGATGCAGAACAAGGGGCCCTCGTAGCCACGGGCGTCGTAGTCCTTGGGCACGTCCGTGTCATCAGTCACACGAAGGCCGAACTTGCACAACGCTGCGACCTGCTTGTCCGTCATCTGCTCGCCCTGGTAGTTCGTTGGGAAGAAGTCGTCGAGCGTCTCCAAGTCCAGAAGCGATGCGAGGAGCGACTTCCACATCCGCGGCGAGAAGTTCCTGAACTTCTTCACCCTGGGACCGAGCTTGACCCCCACCTGAGTGCTCAGTGCCTGTGTCTTGCGGCGCTCCAAGGCCCGCAAGATCTCCCCATCCCTGATCATCGAAGCAATCACGGGGGCGATCTCTTCGTTGAGATCGAGCTGGGCCGCCACGTACTTCTTGTCTGCCTCCACGCTGTTGCTCAACAAGTTGTCGACTCCAGCCGACACCTGGCGTGTGCGAGGCTTCTTGGCCTTGCGATCGGACATCGCCGCAAAGCACGGCGTGGTGCCAGGAGGGGTATCTATCAATCTACCTGAAGCATAAAGTCAGAACCACAATGGTTACGGACGATGCATGGCAGCCCGATGGTGATGGGGGGGGCGACGGCGGGGCTTCGATTTTCGAACTGGTCAGCGGCCTCCTGGCTCGGAGGGGCAGCCCCCCCCCCCCAAGAAGGAGGCCCCAAGCGGGGCCCAAGAGAGCCCAGGAGCGCCCCAAGAGGGGCCCGAAATCAATCTTCAGAAACATGTATCAAGACAGCGGTCCCAACCAAACACTCAGTTCGATATTTGTTGTAATGTGTGGGGCCCTCTCGGGCTCTCACTGGGGCCCGTTAAAACCCTTTTCAGAGCCATCTGGGGCCCTCTAAGGACGTATCGGGGGGTCATGGGGCCATTTTGGGGGGCCTATACTAGCCTCTGGGGGCCCGCACGCACAGCACTGCACACACAAGACTACGGCACCACGAATGTCACACCACGCGCGCGGCACTGCACCGACCGCAAGCCGCGCGCGCAACACCGTACGCAAATCACCTAACGACGACGCATGGAACAACTCAATCCCATCCTCCTCCTACCTTGTTTCCATCCTCCCGTTCTTTCCCTTTGTCCTCCCTCCACCCTCCTCTTATCTCCTCCGTCGCACGTCTTCCCGCTATCCTTTATCGTTCCTCCCGCTCGTTCCTCCCTGCCCCCCCTTCCCCCATTCGCCCCCCCCTCCCTTCCCCCGCTGCGCTTTTCTGTCCCGCACGCCCTCCACTCGGGGTGGGCACGGGGCTGTAGAGGTGCAAAACCCCCCCCCCAGCCACCAGGAACCGTAGCCTACAGATTTGTGTTTCTCTGATCGTAGTCGTTGTCGGCGGCGTCGTCATCGTCGTTGTCGCTGTCGTCGTCGGCGTCGCTGTTGTTGCCAAGTGCCATGTGGTACCCACCGTCACGGTCTTAAGAGATTTTGCAAACCAAGTTGCGGGTGGGTGGGTGGGATGTTTGCGCGAGCAGTGGAGTGGACAACTCACTGCGGACAGAAATTATCTTCCTCCCCTAGATGTTCCTCCATAGGGTTCCACGCCGGCTGGGTGAACACATAGTCCAACGTCATGGCCATGTTTTGGCCCGACGTTTGGCCAGATGGGCAATTCGAAACGGCAGGAGGCAGCGGCGGCTCGCCGTAGGCGTCTTCGATAGTCCTTCCCCGAAGTGGTGCTCGTAAGACTCGACGTCACGGAAAAAGCCATCGAACTGCTGCTGGAAGTGACTGTCGTGGTACTGGCCGTACTGCTCGCTGTCGAGAGGGTGGTGCTACTAGCAGTGCTAGTGGCCATTCCCTTGCAGATGAAGCGGTAGCCAGTGCTGCCGACTGTCCCAGAGCCCGTGGACTGTGAGAAGAGTATGGTGTTAGAAGATGTATCGTAGACGCAGCTGATTCCGAGGCTGGTGCCTGGGATGGGTGTTGTCCCCGCTGGACTCAAGCCCACAGCGCTAGCAGCCGAGGAGAAACACTCTGCCGAGGTCGGCACGTCGTCGACACCCGAACCGTAGCAAGTCTCGGTTGCAGGCAGGAGGGAGTAATCGGGCGGCGAGGTGACGGAGGTGCCAGTGCTAGCGGTTGTCGACACGGTCGAAATCGACGTGGTGGTGGCGGTAGCCGACGTCTCCGTGCTGGTGAAGACGCCCGGACAGATGTACTGGAAAAGGCTGTTGGGCACCGCGGCAGCGCCGGTGATGGTGGAGTCCGCCGGCCCCCGCTTCCCGGGGGTGAAAAAGAGTGTGAGACAATTGGCTCTTCCCCTCCCCCTTCCCCCCTCCCCTGGAGCTCCAAATCGCATTGGATGGGGGGGGGGCTTCGGGGAGGCCCCAGGCGACACGAGCAGGGCCCAGACAGAGCGCCAAGACAGTCGAAGAGAGCGCCATGACGGTCCAGCGTAGCCCCACGACGATCCAAGATGGCTTCAAGATGGCCCACGAGGCCCCCTGGACAGCCCCCAGGGCAGCTGCACGCCGTTCGTTTCTAGTCGTGCTCATTTTTTAGCTCTGCGAGTGAACAAGGTGAAGCTCTTCCCCTACCCGTTCCCCCCTCCCCTGGAGCTCCAAATTGCCCTAGAGGGGGGTTTGGACGCCCGAAATGGGTACCGAAAGAACGGGTACAATGCCCAACAGCAGATGTTGTCCCAAACCAACAGCGGCCGCTGTTGGGCAGGCGGCCTCCTGTCTCGAATGGACACAGGCCGCGGCGGCGTGGACAGCGAGTCCTGTTCAAAGTGAACCAGATCCGCTGTTGGGCATTGTACCCATTCTTTCAGTACCCATTTCGTGCGTGCAGAGGGGGGGGGGCCCTGGGGGAGGCCCCGGGAGACAAGAGCAGGGTGGGGGGGAGAGGCCCGGGCACGAGCAGAGCCCTTGGCAGAGCGCCGAGGCAGTCGAAGAGGTCGCCCCACGACGGCCACAGCGGCAGCCCCACGAAGACGGCCTCAAGATGGCCCCTCCTCCCTCCTCCTCCCTCCTTCCTCCTTCCTCCCTCCTCCCTCCTCCCTCCTCCTCCTCCTCCTCCTCCTCTCCTCCTCCTCCTCCTCCTCCTCCTCCTCCTCCTCCTTCTCCCTCCTCCTCCTCCCTCCCTCCCTCCTCCCTCCCTCCCTCCCCCTCCCTCCCTCCCTCCCTCCTCCCCTCCCTCCTCCCTCCTCCCTCCTCCCTCCTCCCTCCTCCCTCCTCCCTCCTCCCCACGAGGCCCCCGAGACAGCCCAAAAGCGCCTTCAGAGGATCGCCGCGAGGGCCTCAACGGGCCAAAACCATTTCCCGTGGGAAACCCATATTTTTAGTACAATAGCCTTTCACCATTTGACTGCGAACACGACGGCATAGGTGGCCCCAAGACGGCCCATGATGCCTCGAAGAAGGCCCCAAGACGGCCTAAGAGGGCCCAAAGACAGCCCCAGGGGCCCCCCAAGACGTCCCAAGGCAGCCCCTGGAGGTCCCCAAGAGGGCTCCAAGAAAGCCCGAGAAGGGGAATACGAACTGACATGTCGAGCGTTTCCCACCAATGTGGCCCTTCGAGCGCCCTAGAGGCCCCCGAGGCCCCTCCAAGAGGTCCTAAAGAGGCCTCCAAGACGCCCCCAAGAAGTCTTCCAGAGGCCCCCACAAGGCCCCCAAGAGCCTCCCAGATGCCCCCATAAGCCCTCCAAGAGGCCCCCCACAAGCACCCCAAGAGCCCCTCAGATGCATCCAAGAGTCTCCTGACCCAAGATCTAACTTCCACGATCGTCTCACACACTCACCCCTTTTCTGGGGGTCGGTGGAATGGCGTAAGCCATTTGAATAAAAGACCTGACCGGACGAAATGTCATACACGCAGCTGATCTGAAGGACGTTAGAGGGCAATTCCACAGTTTCCACGCTCGGAAAGCCAACTGCGCTTTTCGCAATACCGAAGCACTCGGCGGAACCAGCCACATCGCTCAGGCCACCATCATGGCACGTCACGCCAGCAGGCATCAGCGAATAGTCAGGAGCAGGGGTAGTGGTTGAGGATGTCGAATCGGTCAGTGTTGAAACAGTGGCACTCGTGACTGAGCTGCTTGATGTAGTCGTCGAGGAGACGAATACTCCGATGCAGACATATTGATCGGAGGTTGCGCCATCTGACCCAGCACTGCCGTCGCCAAAGGTGAGCATGCCGTTTTTCCAGACGCAGCTGTGGGCAAAGCCAACGAAAGGCCCGAACGTCGTGCCCCCGAGGCCCAACGCAGCCTTGGCTGCCACGAAGCACTCCGTAGAGTCGGCTATGTCCGTGAGGCCCGCGGAGGCGCAGCTCAGGCCCGCGTCCAGCAGGGTGTAGACGATCGACGTCGTGGTATCGGTGGCGGTAGTGGCCGCCCTCCCCGCCAGCGGCATGGCCCTGCCCGCGTCGCGCTCGTCAGCACTCACGGCCCCCGCGGCTGGGTCCGCAGATGAGCGCGCGAGCACGACCCCTCCGGCAGGCCCCGCGGGGCCCTCCCCGTGGGCCAGCGCCGCTGCAGCCTCTCTCTCGGAGGTGGCGGACCGCTGCCGCCCTGACGGTGCCTCGGCCGTCGCAGCTGCGGGCTCCTCGGCCCGTGCTGCGGCCGAACGGCCCTGCCAGGCGTGGCGGCACTGCGGACAGCCCGAGCACTCCTCCACGACAGCACATGCGGCGTTCCACTCGCCGGCTCCAGGGCAGCGCCGGTGGTCACAAGCGTGTGCAGCCGCCAACCCTCTGACCTCTCTGTCCCGGTCGCCCTGCGCGCCCACCTTCCGCAGCACGAGGAAAGCGGTCAACACCAAGGAGGCCAAGGCCGACGCGACCGCAAGGAGAGCAGAGCGCCGCCGCATGTCCCTTAGGGACTCAGTGCAGCATTGCAGCCGCGACCGCTCACTGCTGTCCTCGATGCCTCGAGGCTGAAGCCACAGCTATGGCACCTGCTCGTGCACGTGCGCCGCCTCCTGCTCATTTCCCCCCTCCGCCCCTTCGCTCACATCCGCCCCCTCTCCCTCCACCTCCGCCTGCCCCCTGTAGGGGGGTCCGGAAGGCCTGCTGCAGGGAGCGGCGCGAGACGGGGGCAGTCGCGGCCGCCAGCTGGCGCAACGGGGACCGAGGGAGGGAGAGAGGAGAGGGCAGGTCGGACGAGAGCCGGAGGATCGGGACCGAGAGGAGGCAGGGCACGGGAGCGGCGGCCGCAGGGCGAAGGGGGAGGAGGGACGCGGAGAGCGGGAGGCTTCCGGGAGGATCGGGCGACGTGCAGCGGCCCCCTGCGAAGGGTCCGGGCCGCTGCCCACGGCCCTCTATAGGGGGCGGGTCTGCGCGCGAGAGGCACGCGCGGCCGATCGGCCCGAGGCTCAGCCTCTTGGCAGCGGGCGGGGTGCGGCGCGGGCGGACACGAGGCGGCCGAAAGCGACCCGAGCCTGCTCGCGACGATCACTCTCATTCTCTCATTCCGCCTCCTCCACCTCCTTCTCCTCCTCCTCCTCCTCCTCGGCCTCCTCCTCCTCCTCCTCCTCCTCCTCCTCGGCGTCCTCCTCCTCCTCCTCCTCCTCCCTCCTCCTCCTCCTCCTCCTCCTCCTCCTCCTCCTCCTCCTCCTCCTCCTCCTCCTCCTCCTCCTCCTCCTCCTCCTCCTCCTCCTCTCCGCCTCCTCCTCCGCGATCACACTCTCGGCGGCCCCTTCGGAGGAGTTGTTTCGCAGCAGGCAGTGTAGCCCACTGTGTCGCCAGTGCACCCTCGGACCATGCCACCGGGCCCGTAGGCTCGCTCGCTCGCGCGCGCGCCGTGCGCACCACGAGCAGTGAGGGGCGGCCCGGTCGGAGGAGGAGGAGGAGGAGGAGGAGGAGGAGGAGCAGGAAGGGGAGGGAGGAGAGGGAGGAGGAGGAGGAGGAGGAGGAGGAGGAGGAGGAGGAGGAGGAGGAGGAGGAGGAGGGAGGAGGAGGGAAGAGGAGGAGGAGCGCAAGCAGCATGAGGCGAAGAAGGAACAGATCACATCTACATGCTGATGGCAGCCTGAGCTGCTCGAAGTAAGTTGACGTATGCAGAGGAAGTCTGGGGAGTGGATGCGGCGTGCCGGACTTTGTTACAAAAGTGGAAGCACATCGCTGTGTACGCGTGGGAAGATTCACGCGAAACCTGGGTGGTATTCAAATCAGGGAGCGGCAGCCCAATGCGAACGATGGGGTCGGAGGGGAGAGGAGAGCGAACGATGGACATGAACCCGAGGAGGCGGGGACAAGTGAGGTAGTGCGGAGAAGAGTCAGAGCAATGGGGACAGCCAAAGAGGCAGGTCCTAGAGCACTCGACCTTGACCCTGTGTGTTGTTGTCCACCCGCCCACGATCGTCTTGATGTGAGCCCAAATCCAGGCGGGCTTTGAGGCCAGGAGCACCTGCTTCGGCTCTGGCCACGAGCGCTGCAGCTCCGAAAGAGGCGGGGCTGCTAGCTCTCCGAACCACTTGTCACATCTGTGCTGAAGGATGAGAGTTATGGAGTCAAGATAGATAGAGAGAGAGAGATCCTTTTTTTTCAAAAACAAAAAAAAAAACACGTGATCAACGAAGAAAGGTAGAGGCTTGAAGACGGGCTCGACGGGTTGCGCGTCCGCCGGAAAGCCGACCCCGTTGAGTCGACAAGGGTCGGTTTATGCTTCCGTGCCCTGGGGCTCGATCCCGTGGGGCGGCAGCTGTAGCGCATCCACGAATCGCCAAGTGGCTGGCCGCGAGCACGCGAGAGCGCGACAGCTTGAGCCACGGCACGCTTCCTACAGCGTCGGCCCACCTTTTGCACCATCGCCCTGGGTTCCTTCCGAAGCGAGTTGGACCATTCGACTGGGAGGGTCGCCACCACCCCTGCAGGAGGCAATGTAGCCCACTGTTTCGCCAGTGCCCCGTCGGGCCAGGCTGCCGGGCGCGTGAGCTCGCTCGCGCGAGCGCTGTGCGCACCGCGAGCGGTAAGGGGCGGCCCGAGGAGGAGGAGGCGGAGGAGGGGAGGGCGGTGGGAGGGGAGTCGAAAGACCTCTGGTGCTCTCCTCCTCCTTGCGGCCGAACGGCCAGGCAGCACACACAAGAGAAACGATCGTCATCATAACCATGCTGAGATGTGCTGAACTTTGACTGGTCTCGCCTCAATCTCTGTCGACAGTTCGGCGGGCGCGCCGCCTTCTCTAAGCCAAGGGCTGCGGAGAATGCAGGCATGCGGCGGCGCTCTGTGAAGAGTGGTATGCCTTCGAGCGGAGGCGTGGCCAAAATATCCCGCCAGGCGTTCGCATGCAGTCAGCGTATATCTGAAGCATGCCTTCGAGCGGAGGCGTGGCCAAAAGATCCCGCTCTCCCCTGCACCCTTTCACTCGGGTCGGGAATTCTAACGCTCTGCGCGGCACTACGGCACACTGCGCACAGAGAAGGCAACCGGCTGCAGCCCGCTCAAGTGCCACTCGCTGCTGAAGCCCAACTTCACGAGTGCTGTCCGGTCGAGCTCGCCTTTCGTCAGCCCGTCCGCCAGCATGTCCAAGGTGTCGATCCAGCTGAGCTGCGCCAGCTGCAGGCGGTCTATCTGCTCACGTGCTGCGAGCGTCGGCACGAACATCCGCTTGTCCGTGGTGACCTTGATGGTGTCGGCGGAGATGGCGTCGAACACTGCCTTCGCGTCAATGGCAGCAATCATCTTCAACACCAGGTCGCCAGCCTCCTGCCGCACTCGCATCTGGTTCGCCGTGCATACTCCTTCACTGATCTCGGTCATCGCCACATTCATGAGAGTGCCGGTCCCGAGCGCGTCCAACAACGCCATGAGCTCCGCGGCGTAGGTGGACCTGACCACGTTGTTCTGCTTTCGACTGTACCAGTCAAGCATCACGATCCTGTACGTCGTTCCAGTTTGAAGCACCTCGTCGTCAGCCTCCAGCAACATGATCACACAGCCTCGGATCGCCAAGCCTTCGAACTCCATGGCGTGGAAGGCTGAGTCGCTGACGACGGCCAGCCGCACTCGGGTCATGTCCAACTCGATGAACCGAACTCCGAGCTGCTTCGCGTTCACCATGATCCACTTCAGCAGCCGGTTGATCTTCCGGATGTCTCCGACCGCCGGCTTCTTGGCCTGCCGCTGGAGGTAGCTGACATACACTGCAATGGGCGCCATCGTCTGCGTCATCCATGCACTTCCTCCGAGCAGCGACATGTACGCCGCGTGGCTCTCCACGCTCACCTGGCCATCTTCGTTCTCCATCACGTACTGGTCCTCCTGGAGCGGTCGCAGCTGCTGAACGTAGTGCTGCTGATGCGTCCAGATGGCCTTGGTCACAGGGTCCTGCTCGTGCATGATGCCGATGCACTCAAAGCAGTCGTACTGGCGCTTCAACTTCCCAAACTCGCTCTCTATCATGCTCAGCACTTTTTCCCGCAGGTGGTCCTCACCGCCGCCCTTCAGGTCGTCCACGTGCGAGGACATGATCATCTGCAACTCGCCCTTAGCGTCGTGGTACACGTAGATCTGCGGGTCGCTGATGAGCGCCTTGCCCCCTGTCTTCTCCAGCACTTGCTTCAACATGACCTGCCACAGCCTCGGCGCGTCCTTCAGGCCGAAACCGCAGCGCAGGAGCAACAACACCTCTGTCACAGGGTTGTAGTCCTCGTAGCCCTCCAGCTGCCGGAGGACTGGAATCGATCCTGGCGGCATCGTGAACTGTACCTTCCGCTTCACCTCGCCGTCCATGGCGGCGACCTGCTCGAAGGTGAGGCCGCGCAAGAACGCCTGGCTGATGTCCGCTGAGAACAATCGCCACTTGCGCTGCGCCGTCACCTGGTTCACCAGTCGTTGGCCCCATCGTGTCGTAGTACCCGCAAAGGTGGACAGCTCAGGTGAGCGCGCACCTGCTTCTTGCCGTCGATCTCCTTCCACTTGAGCACCCAGCGCGAGTCGATGATGTTGGTCGCCTGGTCCTTCGGGAAGCGCTGGAATGCCTTCAACTCTGCCCAGCGCTGGAGCTCGTCCTTCATGGCCTGACGTACTTCGACTTCGTGAGCTCGGGCCTCTTCCAGCGTGAGCACGTTCATCTCGCGCTCGACGACGATCTCGCGCTTGCCCGTGTTGTAGACGCGCAGGACGTAGATCTCACCTGCTCCAGGGCGTCGTGTGTGCTCCACCTCAGGGTACACCCAGTACATGAGCGGCGCACCTATGCCGATCTCGACGCAGTCGGGTCGGGAATTCGAAGAATCATCCTCTACTGCCTCCGCCACGTGATCTGCGTCCGGGGCTGCGAAGAAGAAGTCGCTCTGAGCGCACTCGGTGTCAACAGCAGGCAGTGCGGCCTGCTCCCTCATGTGCTGCCAGCTCGCGAACGAGTACTCCTGGGTCGCGTCGCTGTCCGAGTCGCCGTCGTCGTCTTCGCCACCATCATCTTTGATCGGGAGCACTGGCTCATGCAGGGGTGCAGGAGCCCCAGCTGCCGCCGCTGGTTCACCTGAACCTCGGGCTCCATGATCACGATCCGGGCCATCACGTGAGCGCGATCTCTCTCGAGCACCCCCGCCTGGCTTCACCGGCGGCCTCACAGGCGGCACGGCGTTGTCGGCGACGGCCGGAGCAGGAGAAGGCCCTCGTGGTCGATGTTGCCCTCGGTTGCTCCGACTCCTCGTAACGTCCGATGCTGCACTCGTCTGCCTGGATGCGCTCGATATGCTCGTGTCGGGCACTGGCATTGATGCACTCGTCTGTCTAGATGAACTTGGGATGCTCGTGTCGGATATCGGCCTGTCCTGCCAGGGCATGTCGAAGTCTTCCTCTTGAAGCTCCGGAGGGTCCTGAAACGGTCCAGGTTCGGGTCGCTCTGGCTGCCCGTACCGTCGCGCGTGCGGAAGGTTGCCGAACCATGGACCCCCAAGATGCGGAACCTCGGGTTCACGTCGCCGAAGTTCACGAACAGACTCGTCGTCCGTCATGATGAACTGCACGAAGCTAACGTCCCGCCAGTGTTCCTTGCCAAATATCGGAGCCAACTTCAATCGAGCAGAACCCGACGCCTCGTGGTACCAGGACAGCTCTGGGCGTCCGCGCCGCCACCACCATAGGAAGCTGTGGTCGCATCCGACCATTCCTTCGAGCACGGACACGCCATTGCCCACTCGAGCGCCGATGCAGCCCACCAGATAGAAGCCACTGGCGGCAACATGCAACACCGCCAGGACCAACTCGCTGAGCTTCTGGCTGTCCGCGGTCCGCTTCCACCCGGCGTCGAAGAGCCACCCGACGCGCACGACCTTGCTGTCCAGCTGGTCCGCGTAGCTCATGATGGTGGCCACCGGGTCGCGCGATCCTGCCTCGAAGAAGATGTTATTCGTGAACATCACGAAGTACACGAGGCTTCGCCGAAGGTCCTGAGGTCGTACTTGAAACACTCGTCCCTGCCATCGAATGAGCACTGGAGGTCCGACCTGCAGCAAGGTCGCTGGGCCGCGCCACCCCGACTCTTCCTTCGTGCTCGGCGGTCGGTGAAAGTCAACCTGGTCGCCGACCACCAGCTGCAGCGCCTCGTGCGGGGCGCGCGTCTTGGATCGAAGCGCGCGCCTCAGCCTGTCCTTCGCGGTCATCTCCACCATGGCTTGCATTGCAACTTCGCGTAGCCGATGATGGTGTCGGGAGATCCCTGGGATGCCAGCCGACTGGTCGTCAATCTGGCAGTCGCTCACCGGCTCGAACTCGGCGAGCAGGGGCGGAAGCCGGCCGTACACCGCCTGGTAGGGGCTGTAGCCAGCCACGGTGATGAGGAGGTTCTTGATGAGGGCACACTCCATAATCACGATCTCCAACGGCATCACAATGCCTTCTTCTGCAAGCTGGGCCTGCACACGGTGTATGATCTTGCGCACCAAGTCGTGATGGCGTTCCACCAGCTGCGCGTGCGAGCCCTCCTCTTTGGCCTTCATCTCGATGCCCCAGCGGTCCAGCCACTGGTACGCCTCCTCGCCATGGAGGCCGCCCTCGATGTCGGCAATCAGCAGCTTCATGGGGCCATGAGGTCGTAGCCATCCCTGGGTGATGCCGGCGATAATCATGATCGCTGTCTTGCGGTCCAGAATGTGAAGCACTGTCCAGCGTGTCGCCTCATCGATCATGTGGGCCACCATCTGTTCGCCGATGTAGAGGATGTCCCACTGCACCATCTCGTTGAAGCCCGTCGCGAGCCGAGAGATCGTCATGCTCTTCGGTCCCGGTCTCGTCCATAGCCTGCACACCCGGCACGTGTCGCAGATCTCCTTCACCAGGGCCAGCGTAGATGCAGGAGCGCCGGCCTTGGTCAGCAGCTCTCTGAGGCGAGCTGCTGGAGCGTGCCAAAATCGAACATGAAGTCGTCGAAGCTGGCGCCGAACGACTTCCTGGTGTGGGCTGTGCAGCAGTCGAAGCGCGTGCCCGAGGTCAAACGCGGTCCAGCCTGGCTCGTCACTGCCTCGAGCCTGCGTCCCCGCATCCACGCCTCGGGCTCGTGCGGCTGGGGCCGCAGCCGGCTGCTCCGCGACGGGTGCCTCGCCGATGGCGTCCGCCGATCCCGAGGCGCCACCTGATGCCTCGTCCGGCTCCGCCTCTCCAGCTGCTGGCAGACGCGATCGCAGTCGCCGTGCCGCCGCTGTCGCTCGAGCCACTCGAGGTCGACGCTCCGCAGGCGCAGGTGGAGGCGGTGGCGGTTCAGGTTCGGCATCTGGCGCGTCGGCTCGCGCGGCGCTCGGTGCCTGATTCGCCGTCGGCTCCTCGGAGGCTGGTGGTTGTCTCGGTCGTAGCTCTCGAGGTCCAACTGCTCTTGGGAGAACACTGTCTGCTCGGCATTCTCCAGGTATTCGGGTATGTCGTGTGTCTGAGGCCGCGCGACCACTCCGGCACGCCGGGCACTTCAGGTCGCGATTCGTCGGCACAAATTTATGCTTGCATGTCTCCCCTCGATCGTGGGATGGATGGTCAGCCGGCCGATGATGCCGACATCCTGCGCACGGCTGCACAGCGCGCGGTACTCCTGCTGCTGATGCTGCTGCTGGTGCTACCGCTGCTGCTGCTCCTGAAGCTGGTGCTGCCGCTGCTGCTGCTCCAGAGGCTGGTGCTGCGGCTGCTGCCGCTCCAGAGGCTGGTGCTGCGGCCGCAGGCGCCGAGGAAGCAGAGGAGCCAGCTGGTCTGGATTGTACAGCAGCCGTGGGGTAGCACTCGTACACAACGAGGTGGTGTCCCTGATACCTCACGCGCTCCACCATCTGGGAAATGCTCGCTGCCAGCTCCCGGCAGATGCCAATCGCCCACTCCGCGTGATCCTTGGGGTTCTCTAGTCGCCACTCGTCACGCTCTGGATGGGGTCCTCGGCCACCATGGGCCAGCAAAGCGTGATCGTGCTGGCCGTCGCAGCGAAACTTCCTGAGTCCGGCGATCAGGCGCTCGTCCGAAGCCCAGAACTCAGAGGACTTCTTGATCGGGAGTCCCGTTCGCCGCCCGATCTTGCCGGCCATGCACTGGTCGACTTGGCACCACACCACCGCGTAGTTGTTGGCGATGTATTGCCAGTCGTCGAGCTTGTAGAAGTCGCTGCCCAGCGGCTGCTCCGAAGCAAAGTGGCGGCCGGCGTCCATCTGAGTGCACGCCGCTGCAGCGGCGATGCGGGCCAGCCCCACTGATGTCTTGCGACTGCGGAGCCAACCGTCGTAGTTGATGACCCTGTTGAGCGCCGAAAACCCTTTCAAGCTCGTGCAGGGCGTGCTAATAAGTAAGACAAGAGGCTTGCGATGATACAGATATTCCCAAAACTGCCTCTGGCCCTCGTGCGTCATCAAGTTGCAGTCGCAAATGAGGTCGAAGTTGGGACCGCCCCGATATCCTCGTCGCACGAGTAACCGGGTTGTTCCAGATGCGCCACCGCACAACTCCGCGACGTCGTCGTGCTGCAGGTGGCCGTAGTAGAGGTTCATGTATGTGTCCATATCCTTGACTGAGCTGAAGAAGTTCTGCTGCTCGTCTTTCTCGTTCAGGTGCGCCTCCGAGCCGATCATGCCAAAGAACTCGGACATCATGATGTACGGCTGCTCGTCGATGTACTGGTCCTCCCTGAGCTCGGTGCCGTAGCACACCTCGTCCAGCTCGTACTCGTTCGCCACGTAGAGTTTCGTGAAATCGGAGCCGCAATCGTCGAAGACCTGCTCCACTGTCTGTGGCCTCTTCTTCACCTTGCGCTCCGGGTCTGCTGCCTTGCGCGCCTTGTCGCGCGTCCTCTGCTCGGTGGGAAAACTCGCGGTCAGCGCGCTCACCTTGCAGCCGGTCTCGTCGACGTCGTCCGCGAATGATACTCGGCCAGGTCGACGTCGCTCACCTCGTGACTGCTCCTCGTCGGCTTCTCTCAAGGCCGCTGTCCGAGATCCTGGAGGCCCGGTAGTCGTCGGATCCGTCCTTGACGACCCGGGTCGGGAATCACCCCCGGCCTCACGGCGTGATGTAGCTGTCGCAGATGGCGACAATCCGTCGGCTGCGTCGGATCTCGCGCCGCCGTCGAAGCAACCAGCGGCCACCATCCGCTTGACCAGAGCAGATACCCCTCTGGCCTTGAAGTCCAACCGATCTGCAGCAGTCTTCCGTGTAACATGTCGGCCTGCTGGCCAGCCGCAGCGACACTTCGCGTCGTGGTCGTCGAAGTAGCTGCTGCTGACGATGCGCGTAGTCTGCGCTGCTGGTGATCCTCGAGCATCGCGCACACCGAGATTGCACCATCTTAGTCGTCCTGCGTGCCACCTCCTGTCGTCCAGCAGTTCCAGGATGTCGGGCATGTCCCACACCGCGCTGCCCTCGTCCGCCTCGACGATGCAGCAGCGATGCCCTTCAAGTTGAGCTCGAGCGATCTTGCACTCGAAACGCTTGGCTCGCTTGTCGTTGCGGGTGCCTCGCGACGTGCCCGGCTGAGCCAGGCTGATCCAAACGAGCTCCGGCTGCTGGTGGCGCAGGGAATCCGCCCACTTATCCTCCTACCCGAGGAATCTGTGAACATCACAGTTGCGACCCACCGCATATCCGCATCCGTGCAGCGCATTCTGGCACAGGTTCTGCAAGTCGCCGAACACCCATGCCGATGGCGGTCTCCCCTGTACTTCCCTGGTGCCCCCGCCGTCCCGAGCACCGAGATGGGGTGTCTTCGATCAGAGGTGCAGGCTGCCCGCGTCGGGCTGCCCGCTGGCGCTGTCTGCTGCGGCGCCGCTGCCGGTTGGCGTCGCAGTGGTGGTCTTCTTGCTCGCCGTCCTGGTAGATGCGGGAGTCGGCGCGGTCGCTGCGGGCAAGGACGTCGGACCGGATGTCGTCGAAGTCGCCAATGCCATCGTCCTCGTGGGCCCGAACTCCCCGATGTTCCCGTCTCGTCGTAGAGGTCGCAGGGCAGCATGAGATGACCGGCGTGGCTCTCTTCCAGATGGTACTGCGATGATCCTGGACTCAGCTGCAGGGAGTAGCCGCCCGGGCCGATGCGGTACATCCGATTGTTGAAGCAGTCGAGCAGGATGCGCTGGTCCCGCAGCGATGCTCGCCCGAGCAGTGCCGGCACGCTGCTGTTCGGGAGCACCGGCGCCTCGTAGGTCGCGGCTTGCCCTCCCTGCAGCGCCAGTTGATAGCGATGGGCGTGCGTGGCCTGCTGAGATCCTGAGCCCACACCACCAACCTCAAGCACCCGGTCAAGTGGGGTGCGAACAGGCGGTGGACGTCCTGCCTGCTGCTGTCGCGCTGCCATCCTGTTGCCCCACTCGTCGCCAGTAAGGTTGCCTGGGCTCCCGGGGTCCACCAGCAGGGCCTCGCCGCTCCTGTCCTTCATGCGGGTGCGAACCAAGTAGGTCTCCCCGCCAGCGTTCTCGAACTGATCCACTCGCCACCATGGGAACCATGTTGGGCTGGTCACGGCCGCTGATCGCCCAGCTGTCACCGGAGGCTGCTCCTCCACAGCTCGGTCCTGCATGCTGGCCTGGATCTCCGTCAGTATGTCGTGCTCCGCGACGTTGTCGCGCATGTCGAGGGTCTCCCAGCTCAGAGCCTCGCGGAAGGTGTCCTCGTCAAGGTCGTCGATCTGCAGGCCAGGCGTCCGGGCGTCCTCAGTGAACCAATGCAGCACTCCAGACAAGGCTCCAGTCCGCGGCTGCGTGGGCACGGGCGCATAGGCGGCCAACGTTGGGTCGGCGGCGGGAGCCCCGGCCTGCTGCGTCCCCGTCGCGGCGCTGCCAGCGTTCCAGGACATGAAGTGCTTGCCCTTGCCCTTGCCCTTGCGCTTGGGGCAGGCGGCCACGAGGTGGGTCTCCGAGTCGCACTCGTGACACCGCATGGTGCGGCCGTCCCTGCCTCGGGGATTGGTGGCGCCGGGCGTGCCTGCCATGTAGTGCTTGCCGCCCTTCTTCTTCTTGCCTTTTCCTCCCGCCAGCGAGCCTGGGTTCACCACCGATCCGCCGAAGTGGTATCCCTTGCCGTGGCCTCGCCCGCGTCCAAAGCTGCTGCCGCCCTTGCCGCTGCTCATGCGGAGGGACCAGTTGCTGCGCGGGAAGCGAGAGCGGCGGCTGTTCCGTTGGACGAAGTGGCGAAACCTGCGCTTCGCGAACAGGTACTCATGTAGCAGGGTGTCGTAGTCCCAGCCCTCGGAGTCGCCATAATACTCCTGCAGCTCCTCCTGAGTGAACTGGGAAATGTCCAAGTCGTCGTCGTCGGTCATCGAGTCCTCGTCCCCGGGCTCGTCCTCGTACAGGTAGCTCGAGCAGACGGCGCAGCAGTCGTAGCCCTCGTCGTCCTGGACCACGTAGTGCTGGGACGTAGATCCAGCGCTCCCTGCCGCGCCGGCTGCGTTCTGACCATACATATAAGCGGCCGTGTCGTTCCAGGTGTTTGCGCCGCTGTCGCTCTCGCCCGTAAACCAATGATGACCATGATATCCTTTGCCGCGGTACCCTTCAGCCAAGTTCTGAGGTCCCGCGTGGGTGTGCTCTGCGAAGTGGCCCTGCTGCCGCACCATCCCGATCACGCTGTTCAGCTGATCGAGCGTCAGTGGCAGCTGGCCGCTGTTGGCCTGCAGCACCAAGGGGTACACAGCCTTGGGCACATGCAGGGCCTCCAGAAACAGCAGTGCGAGCACCGGTGTCGGCAGCACGAACGGGTCGTCCAGCTGCGCCACTCGGGCGCGCAGCGCCTCGAAGCGCGTGATCGCGTCGTCGACGCTCTCCCGCTCCTGCCTGCGGAAGGTGAGCAGTTCGACGATGGTGCTGATCGACGACTGGACGTCGAGCGGGCCAAAGCGCCGCCGGAGCCCAGTGATCAGCATCTGCACTCCGTCCTCGACCAGGTTGCCCAGCTGGTCGAACCTGCCGTGCGCAATGGCCTCGACCGGCACTTCGCGGCAGAGGTCCCTCGCCGTGCCGCCGAGCCGCTGGACGATCGCCGGGCCGCGCTGGTGCTGCTGCAGCTCCGTCGCCGCGCACCACAGCATCACGTCCTGGACCCACAGCCTGAAGGGGTACCCGCGCTGCTCAAGGTACGGCGCCCAGAACGGCGGGACCTTCGACGTGCTCTGCTGGGCCAGCTCCGCCGCCGGCAGGCCCTGCACGTTCTGCTCGTGGGGTTGGCCCCACTGCGGCGCCGGCAGCCGCGACTCGCCGATGCGCTGGCCGCGCTGCGGCGTCATGGGCCTGAAGCCCAGGGGCTCCGCCGAGCTCGCTACGTTGATCAGGATGCCGAGGAGACCGATGAGCAACACGATCTTGCTCGGCGTCGAACTCGTCGAAGAGGAAGAGCATCCAGTACTTGATGATGTCGTGGCCTGCACGGGGCAGGCCGCACATGGAGCGGTCGTCGCAAAGCAGGTACAACGCCTTGAGCTCGACTCCACCCCATTGCCGTGGTCGCCACGCTGCGGCCTCTCGCCGCCCGCGTCGCACGCAGAGCCGGCCGGAACTGCAGCCGACCCTGCAGAGCCAACCGGCTCCGCTACCAGAGTCGAAAGACCTCTGGTGCTCTCCTCCTCCTTGCGGCCGAACGGCCAGGCATCACGCACAAGAGAAATGATCGTCATCATAACCATGCTGAGATGTGCTGAACTTTGACTGGTCTCGCCTCAATCTCTGTCGACAGTTCGGCGGGCGCGCCGCCTTCTCTAAGCCAAGGGCTGCGGAGAATGCAGGCATGCGGCGGCGCTCTGTGAAGAGTGGTATGCCTTCGAGCGGAGGCGTGGCCAAAATATCCCGCCAGGCGTTCGCATGCAGTCAGCGTATATCTGAAGCATGCCTTCGAGCGGAGGCGTGGCCAAAATATCCCGCTCTCCCCTGCACCCTTTCACTAGGGGAGGAGGAGGAGGAGGAGGAGGAGGAGGAGGAGGAGGAGGAGGGAGGAGGAGGAGGAAGAGGAGGAGGAGGAGGAGGAGGAGGAAGGAGGAGGAGGAGGAGGAAGGAGGAGGAAGGAGGAGGAGGGAGGAGGAGGAGGAGGAGGAGGAGGAGGAGGCGGAGGAGGAGGAGGGTGGTGGAAGGGGAGGACGAGGAGAGGCTCTACAGGTGCTTCCCTGCCTCGGGGTGCCTGCCCTCGACCGGGGCCCCTCTTGGCAGCAGGCTCTCTTCTCGAAGGGGCGCGGCACTCGGCGAGCGCGCAGCCAGACGCGCGCTCGACGCGCCGTCTCGCGTGGCCCCGCCCACCCTGCCTGCGAGTGTTGCACCCAGGCGGCGCCGTCGCGCGCGCGCGGTGCGAACGGCGGAGCCCCACTTTGGGGGGGGGGAAGGGGGAAGGGGGGGCGCGCGTTCGCGCGCCGAGTGGCGGCGCCGCCGGACCCCTTGCCGGCTCCTCGGGGTCTCTTCCCCGGCGGGGCCTGGGCACGCGTCGGATGGGCCCGTTCTTCGGCCTCTGCCGAGGCAGACGTTGGCACGTCCCCCTCGACGGACCGTGCTGGGCAGGCACGTGCCCGGGCTCGCAAAGCCCTGCGGCGGGGGCCGCGCGCTCCTCGGGGGCCGCGGGCACGGGGACCGCGCGGGCGGCTCCGGTCGCCGCCTCGAGCACCGCCGAGCTCGCCGGCACAACGCTGAGGATGGTCGGCAAGACATACAGTCGGGGGCTTGACCTAAGAAACCCAAAATAAGGAACGGGGCCCCTTTTTTCCATAAGTTCACCTTCGATTTCCTGCCGAAAACATAAGGAAAGCCTGAGGCAAGCTGTGAAACACTCAAGGAACGCGGAGCCCCTTCCCAACGAAAAGGAGTCCTTCTTCAGGGCCCCGACTGTACAGTAGGAGACCGACCACAAGAAACCTGCAGCAAGAGACCCAACCCGGAGACCCCAGGACGTCCACTGAGTTTTGGGGCGGGAGCGCCACGCTTCCCATCGCAAAGCCATCGAAATCCAAGAAACCCAGGGCACCCTGGAGGCAAGCAGGGTGTTTCTTGGCATGGGTTTCCACAGTATCTGCCCCGACCAACTCTGCATCAGGCTGCGCTCACGCCACCGACGCTGCTCCTTCCTGCGCAGGCATCTCAGGGCGTGTTCGGTCCCCGCCACCCCACTGCATCCCCTGCACCTCTGCCTTGCGTGCGCAGGGCAATGCCAAAACTCATGCTCGATGACTGCAAACAGTGAGGATCCTGGGCGCACCCGCTGGCGGTGCACCTCCTGGATGGCGGCGCCACCTGGATCAGAAGCGGGATGGCCCCCGCCGCCGTCTGCCGCTGCAGCCGGCCCTCTGCACCAAGCTCCACGATGGACCAGCCAGCCCGTCGCCTGGCACTGTGAGGGGCAACGATAGGGGGGGACTGGCATAGGGGGGGATGCATCGACCTGGAATCGGCGATACATCGCCGATAGATCCGCGATAGGCCTGCGATAGTGAATCCTGCGATAGGTTGGGGCTATTGGGCCCCTATCGGCGGCGATTGGGGGTCGATGCATTGCCCCCCTATGCCTATCCCCCCTTATCGTTGCCCTCGACACTGGAAGGTCGGAGCAGGCGGTCGCCCCATCCGTGTAGACCTCCCCCCCCCCGTGCCGCAGGCTGCCCTCGGGCCGTCGGGCCCCGTGCCGACGCGCGAGGAGGCCTGGCCAGGCAGCGGGGGGGGGGACGGCCGGGGCCGGGCTGCGGCGGCGTCTGCTCGGGCGCGCGAGGGCGCCCTCTCCTCGGCCAGGGCACGCCCCGATGGGGCAGGGAGGTCACGCCCTCTGCGGGCGGGTCTGCCAGACGGCGGCCCGGGCCCGAAGCTCCACGGCAGCGCCTCCGAGGCGGTCGCCACCGCGGTCCAAGCCAGAATTGCCTGCGTGACGCCCTCGTGCCGCGAGGCAGGCCCACACTTCCACGGCGCTCTCCGCCGCCATCCGGGTCGGGGCCTCCACGGCGCTCTCCACCACGGTGCGGGGCAAAGCCTCCGTGCTGACCTCCGCCGTGGCCCATGCCCCGTGCCAGCGTGCCACAGGCGAGAGCCTGGGGTCCCCACATGGGGCGCGCGCAGGGAGGCGGCGGCAGCTGCACGGCTGGCGGCACCCGGGGAGGGCGAGGCCCCGTGTGAGTCTTGCGCCTCCCTCTCCTCCTCGCTCGAGGGGCAACGATAGGGGGGATAGTCATACAGTCATCGGCCTGACCGAAGGAACGATAAATAAGGAACGAAGCCCTTTTTTTATCCTAATGAATAACGCATAAGGAACGATAAATAACAAGTAACGCATAAGGAACTGTAAATAACGCATGCAAACCTAAGGAACGACCGAGCCCCATTTGAAAAGTAAGTGTTCCTTACTCAAGCCGCTCACTGTGGGGGGGATGCATCGACCTGGCATCGGCGGTACCTCGCCGGTAGCTCGGCGAGAGGCGCCCCCGATGGCGGAGCCGCACCCTCAATGAGCGGGGCATGGGTTATCGGGCCCCGATCGGCGATGCACGGGCGAGTGCGGGGGGTCGACGCCTCCCCTCCCCTATGCCGATCCCCCCCCTAATCGTTGACCCTGGTCTTATCGTCGGGGCCTCGACCTAAGGAACCCAAAAGAAGGAGCGAGGCCCCTTTTTGTCCATGAGTTAAACCTCGAGTTCCCATCGAAAGCATAAGGAAAACCTGAGGCAAGCTGCGAAACACTTAAAAGGAACGCGGAGCCCCTCCCCAAAGAAAAGGGTTCCTTCTTCAGGGCCCCGACTGTACCAGCCTCGAACTTATCCCTTTCCCTAAGATTGACACGCCGAAAGGCGATGCCAATCTTAGGGATGCGCCCTCAAAAAAAGTAAGGGAATCCCTAAGATTGGCATCGTGATGAGGAGATGCCCAGCACAGGGATAGGGACATGTTCAAGGCTGGTAATGATCGCTGTTCGCTCAGATCAGTATGCCGCTTCTTAGTGGGCATGCCACTAAGTTCAGCGATTGTTCAACAGCGCTCTCGGGCAGTTTCCAGCAGGCTTTCAGCGGGTTCAGCTCCTCAGGGGCTCAGCGCCACAGGAATGGTGAATCATCATCGTCATCATAAGGTTTCGCGGTGTTCATTGGACAACCCTCAGGGTGTTGGCAGTTCGCCGTCTTCAGCGTTCAAGGGTCTTGCGTTCTGACCGCGAATCCTGACCATAGATGTCGGTCGCGGGGGGAAGGGGAAAAACATGATCTGTTGCGGTTCGGTGCGATACTAAAGATACCGCTCCGCGAAATCCGCCCACGCAGATTATTTATGTTCGTTTCGCTGTTAACGATAACACCTGGGGGCTTTTTGATCGCTTCGTCCAGTTAATGTCCCAGAGTGTCTTTGCTTGCCTACGCTAGGCAAAAACTATGTGGGCGCATGTTCGCTTGGCCTCGCAACCTTATAGCAAAGAAGGTTTGATTCGTAGTTTACAGAGCTCGTGAGGTAAACCGTCAATTGCGACTTAATGTCTCAAGGTGATCTTACGCATCAAGTCTACACCGCCCATGGTCCCGCCAACCCTACTGCTCGTACAATCCAGCACACGGGCAATGGGGCCTTCGATAGAGTAGGAGCAAGGACGCCCGTCCTCTGGCATATCGCACCAGCGCCGCTGGCTCCAGGCAGTCTGCACTGCGCGGTGACGGAAATGGAGAAAGGGAAAGGGAACGAGACCAGGGCCGGCGGGACGAAGCAGGCGGGAGGACAGGCGAGAATGAGCAAGGATGGAGAAGGCGACGGAGGGGAGGAGGAGAAGGAGGAGGAAGAGGAGGTGGAGGAGGAGGCGAAGTCTTCAACAATGAATCAGATGTGAAGAGCTCTAAGAAGGCTTGCAAATAGGACGACGGCCCTCTCTATCGGGATATTGATCCGCTAAGATGTCATAAGAGGCACAGGTAATCCTGAAGGCAGAATTTGTACTGCAGCTGTGAAACACTGCACGTCATCATCTTTCACCTCGCAGCCCAGCCGCACTGAATTCTTCCCCGCTCCTCGGAGCACACGGACACACAGCCCCTGCACGAGTGCCCCCCTCATCTTCCCCACTGGCAGCAGGCGGCATCCTCACAGTCAGTGGTCCTCCTCCTCCTCCTCCTCCTCCTCATCATCATCATCAGCATCAGCATCATCGTCATCATCGTCGTCATCATCAGCATCATCATCAGCATCATCAGCATCATCAGCATCAGCATCAACAACATCAGCATCAGCAGCATCATCATCTTCACCATCACCATCACCATCACCATCACCATCACCATCACCATCACCACCATCATCATCATCATCATCATCATCATCATCATCATCATCATCATCATCATCATCGTCATCATCATCATCATCATCATCATCATCATCATCATCATCATCATCATAGTCCTCGTCGTCATCATCACCATCATCATCAAATGGGTGCGCATACCCCTCCCCAGCTTCTCGAGCGACCGACCATCGACCCCAGCGCCTTGGACCTCGTCCCGCCAGGTGCGCCCGACCCCCCTTGAGAGAGGGACGCCCAGGGCCTTTCCGTAGTACGCGAGGAAGCCGAACATCCACTTAGCCGTCGTGATGATCTGCTCCTTGGTCACGTAGGGTGCCACCTCTTTGTAGACCTGGGCTGTGTTGACGACGCGCCGATCGAGACGCATTAACCCAGAGATCTCCCCAGTATACGCGATGGGCTGCCAAGACAAGGCGAGGCACGCTGCTGAGGCCAGTGGCGCAGAGCTGGCGTCGAAGGAAGGCGAGAAGAGAGGAGGGAGGGAGGGAGGACGGGGAGCGAGGAGGCAGCAGGGAGAAAAGGGGGGGCGAAAGAACGAGCTCCGGGGGGCGATGGCCCAGCACTATCTCGAGGAAAGCTTGGGCTGTCCCTGGGTCTCGACCATGGCGTAGCACTCAAATCTCTCCTCTTCCGATTGACAGACTCTGTTGGCGTTCTGAATGGATTGGTCACGGTGTGAAGCAGCAGGAGGAGCAAGAGCAGGAGGTGTGGCTGCAAGGCTGCGCCGCCTGGAAAGACTGGTCAGGATGCATGACCACGTGGTCGAACACGTCGCTCGTCATAATGAAGTTCAGGTGGTCCTCCGACGGCACCGTGTCGTTCTCGACCACACCCTTCTCTACATCCTTCGGTGTTGCTGCTATGGAAACAATGTCCGCGACAATGTCCGCGACAATCCACGCAACAATCTACTCTCTTTCGAGATCGGACTAAATAATCGGCGTCAAGGTTCAGAGAGGGGACCCAGCTCGAAGCCAGCTCGCCTGGCCACGCGCTCCGACTGGTATCGCGCGCACCGCAGTGCAAATATGAAACATGTGAGAGAAGAGTGAATTCATATATATATATATATATACATACATACATACATACAAATAGATCAACATTAGATACGATAGGCCCGAGAGACGAGCGAAGAGACACTGTTGGAGATCTGCACGCAGCAACGCTTGCGCTTCAGAGGGCCCTGCCCGCGCCCGGAAGGGCCCGCAATTGGCCGGCGGGGTCGGGCCGTGGCCGCCCACGGGGAGTGCTCCGCGCGCCGTGGCCCGCAGGACGCCCAATGGGGCCCCGCGAGGCGCCATAGGGCCCCGCGGCTTCCCGCACGCCGCGGCCGCTGCACCCCCCCGCGCACGGCCGCGGCCGGGCACGCCGACAGAGCCTCGACGCGCCCGCCCGGCGCACGAGGCGCCACCCGCCCCGCGCGCGGGGCGCCCCCCCCGGGGCGCCCACTCGAGGCGCCCCGGGTGGGCGGGCGCCCGGCGCCGACCTCTCGGCGCGCCCGCCCAGCGGGCGAGGAGCCCGCGGGGCGCTCACGGGCGGGCCCCCGGCGAGAGCTCCGAGCACACGCGCGCACACGCACGCACACAGCGCAGCGCACACGCGCAGCGCACACGCACACACACACACACACACACACACGCACAGACACACACACACACATACACACACACACACACACACACACACACACACACACGCGCGCAGCGCACACGCGCAGCGCACGAGGCGTCCCCCGGCGCCCACGGGCAGGCACCGCGCGAAACGTCACCGGCGCCGACCGGCGGGCACTGGGCGAGGCCTCGGCTCACCCCTCGGGCACGATGCGCGCACGAGGCGCCCGCCGACCCCGGAGCCAAGCGAGAGCCCGGCACACCCAACCGCTCACCTTGCGGAGCACAAGTGAACTTAGGAGGCAACTACTGGGGGGCTGTCGTCGGAAAAAATCAAGAAGGATCGAACCCAATTGGTGGGCTGCTACGCCAGATTGGACCTCGGATGAAGCGGGATCAAGCCGGATTAAGCCGCACCAAGCGGGATTAAGCCAGATTTCGGGCCAAGGCAAAATCAGAATTTGACCCCCCAGGAGCGCATCCGAAGTAAACACCCGCAAGTGCAAGCACGGCTAGGGCAACATGCGAGAGAAGCGGGAGCGGTCGTCTGCTCTGCACAACCTCGCGGTCTCGGGGGTTGGGCCCAGCCCGGTCTGAGAGTCGTGGCGGGCACCCAAGACGTAACATGGCGCAAGCCGGCGTCCCGTCTGCCTTGTCCCAAGATAGGAAAAGAAGAATGAGAAGACAACGAAGCGAGGTGAAGTCCAGTGAATGTTATAAACATGTTTTCCAGCGTGGGCAGCAAATCGTGAATTATGGCACTGTAAGTATGTAAGGCATGTGGCGCAGTGGACGTGGTGCAAGCTACGTGGTGCCATTCATGTGGTAAACGCGATGCTGTCAAAGCTTAACTCTGTTGTAAAATACGTGCAAGCTGCGTGGCGTAATATATATATGTGGTGCAGGCTTTGTAGTGTAAGCTCTGTGATTTCAGCCTTAGGTGTGAACTATGTGGTGAAAGCTACGGGATAAAACCTATATGTGGATAAAGCTGCGTGTTGCAAGCTACGTGGTGCAAACAACGTGGTGCTATCCACCTGACGGGACTTGAAGTAATCAAATCCACTGCCCGCGCAATCATGCCACCCTCCCACCCGCAAATTGCTTTGCACAACCCATGCGGCCGCGATTGCTGTGACTTCTTGTCTCTGACCCAAGCATCTGCGGCTGCGCTGGCAAGCGCAAGCTCGCGCGCAGAGCGGCCAGCTGGACTGGCACGAACCGACGCGTTCGCGATGGCGCTTACCGATTGGAACTTCCCGGCGCGTCTCAAAGGCAGCACTGGCGCGCGGGCACGTCAATGCAGTTCGGTGACCCTGGCGGGTGCGGCATCATGATGACGTCGGCAAAGGCGGCAAACATGATGATAGTAGCGACAGTGGTGGTGATGGTGACGATGCCGATGACGACGGCGCCGATGCTGGTGACGGCAATGATGATGATGATGATGATGATGATGATCATCATCATCATCATCATCATCATGATCATGATCATGATGATGATGACCATGATGATCATGATGATGGAGGTTGACGATACCAGCCTGGGTGCGTAGAATGAGTCCAGATGGAAAATTAACGACGAGGCAAAATCATATGCAATATGCAATGTCGCGCGATCGGGAGGGGGGCGGGGGAATATACCACTCCCGCTCCCCAAACAGAGCTTGCACTTAGGGGTTCTTCTTGGGCCTGTCTGGTGGTTTGCGGTTATGTTGCCGCCGTCGCCGCCCCGTTGCCGCTTCGCCGCCGTCCGTCGTCTGGGTCTGTCTGGCGGTCTAGCGGCTATGTTGGCGCCGTCACCGACTCGTCGCCGCACTGTCGCCGCCTGTCGTCTGGGTCTGTCTGGCGGTCTGGCGGCTATATTGCCGCCGTCGCCGCCCCGTCGCCGCCTCGTCGCCGCCCGTCGTCTGGCCCCGTCTCCGCCCGTCGTCTGGGCCTGGCCGTCGGTCTGGCGGGTCCGTGGTCGCCGACCGCCTCGTCGCCGGCTGCCCAACGTTTTGCACTGCAATACAGAAAGGCCGCTTTTTGCAACGCATAGACTGCGCACCACGTAGATTGCACCACATCGATGGCACCACACAATACACACATAGCACCACATATAGATTGCACCACATACGTTGCGCAACATAGATTGCACAACATAGATTGCAGAACCTGTATTTCGCAATATAGAAACATGTACCTCTCCCCCCCCAGGACTTAACGGTACCCCTTTTTTCACATTTCAACTTGCATACAATTTTGCCCCATCGCCCCTCCGAATAATGAATTCCTACCATCCCAAGCGGGCCGGTATCGGTTCCCCCCTTCATCCCCCGCCAAAAACTATGCGCGCGCACCCGCTCATCAACATTCATAAATGTTCAAACACCCATTGCAAAACAAGATACGAAGTGCACACGCGCGCATTGTTAGGCGCGCGTGCCGAAATCCTCCCAACATCGTGGGTGTCGTAAGGAATTTCAAAATCGATCGCCCCGACAACCTATATATATATATATAGGTATATATATATATATATATACGTTTATACGTTTATACATATATATAAATGGTTTCGCACCGAAGGTGCAAACTTGCGCCCGTTGTTGTGAATTCTTACGAAAAACCATTCGTTGGTTAACCCAAGCTCCTAAAATGCGACCAAAGAAGCCGCTCGCGCGCGCATGTCGAAAACGCTCGAACGCCCTTGCGCGCGCTGTCGCAATACGAATTTGCAGAACACGGGACGACGTGCACGCGAGCGCATCGTCGTGCGCGCATGCTTGAACCCTTTGCAAAATCCGAGGCACCGTCAGGATTTCAAAAAAGGGCGCCCGAAAAAAAACAACAAAAAAAAAAAAACGGCGCGCGCTTCGGCGAATTCTTATGAAAACCATCGGTTTTACAACGTTGCCATCAAATTCTGCCAATCGGGCCTCTCGCGCGACATGTCGAACTCATCCTAACGCCCTCGCGCGCGTGCTGGGGGCACGATCAGTGCAAGAAATCATACCACGCGGGCCATTCGCGCGCGTCGGCCGCGCGCGCATGCCGAACTCCTTACAAAACCTTCATCACCGACGCGAAGATATCGTCATCGCTATCGGCGGCCGTGATCAACATCGGCGCCGTCATTGGCCTTGCCGTCGTCATCGCCACCATCGTCGCCATCATCGCTAATCCATTATCGTGTCCACCATTGCCGGCGTCGCCATGAGAGTGCGCCCGCCCACGCCACCGACTCGCACTGAAGTCCCCGCTGGAAGTGCCAAGCGGTCAGCGCCACCGCGGCCGCGTCGGTCGCGCCGCACTAGCTGGTCGCTGCGCGCGCCAGCATGCGCGGGCTAGCGCGGCCTCACAGATGCACCAGCCAACGCCAAGCACTCATCGCAATCGCCGTCGCATGGGTTTTGCAAACAAACTTGCGGGTGGGTGGGTGGGATGCTTGCGAACAATGGAGTAAGTTCGGAAGGGTGATCTACACAGCAAAAACTGCACAACATGGACTGCATGCACCACATGTACTGCCCAACCCAACTTGTACGACATAGATTTCACAACAAAAAATGCGATCCAAAACATATTGCACCACATAGATGGCACCACATCTATAGCCTCACATAGAACGCACAACATAGGTTGCATAACATAGATTACACACCCTAGAGTGTTCAACATTGCACGACAAAGACTGCGCAACAAAGATTGCACAACTCTTTTTGCTAGAACCACATTGCTCGCGGCCCACAATGGCCAACATTGAAAGGATGATGTGTGGTGCAACGTTTGCGGCGCAGGCTATGCGCGGCCAACGAATGCACGGCCAACGAGGCGCTCACGAGTCGCCAGCGCGCGGCCACGGGCGTGCACCAGGTGAAACCCCAGCGGACCCACCCAGCGCACGGGCGCCCACGAGGCGCCCACGGGCGGGCGCCAGGCGAATCCCCGGCGGACCCACCCATCGCGCGGGACGCCCAAGAAGCGCCCACGACCGGCCGTCAACGTGGCACCCGGCGAAGTCCCGGCGGACCCATCCAACAGCCGCGAGGCTCCCACGGCATACCATCAACCACGCACCAGGAGCAACCCCAGCGGACCAAGTCCTTTGGCAACACAAGTAAGAACCCCCAAGTGGACACACTATTTGGGGAACATGTCAATAGACACATCGGGCTTCACGGGACCTAGCAAGATTGAACTCGAGACCACAGGAAACCGAAGAAAACGATCCACGAGAGATGCTGTATAATCGACATGGAGCTGCTGAGACTTCAGCACATGCTTGGTGTGCGTCGCACCGGTTTTGACTGATGCTCGATTTGGCTAGAGTATGTGCTCATCGCTGACTCCCGCAACGCTTGGTATAGCACTAACGCCACTCTCGGACTTCGCTGTTGCATGTCCACCGCCTATGGCCAAGTGCCTACCAACTTCCACTGGAAAATATGCTCTTCTGCGCATACCGACTACTACCACCAGGAGAAAAACAGTACATGTGCATTCAAAGCGAACTGGGCCCCAAGTCAGATGTCTGCGTGCTCAGATTGGAGAGACGGCCTGGAGCCAGGCGAGACCGCCGTCTCCGACAGAACAGTGGCCGAAGCCCAGGCGCAAGAGGCGAACGAGCACAAACCAGTGAAGCTTACAGGGGCAGCCCGCAGCGGCAAAGGAGAACGCTTTCGCAACAGAAATCTGGAGGTCAGAGATCAGACGGAAAATATGATCGCTCTGTGTGCTCGTGCCATGTGTGTTTTGTGTATGTGTTGTGTGTCCTGTGTGTTTGTGTGTTTGCGTGTTTGCGTGTTTGCGTGTTTGCGTGTCTGTGTGTTTAGGTGTTTGCGTGTTTGCGTGTTTGTGTGTTTGTGTGTTTGTGGTTGTGTGCTTGCGCGCGCGTGTCTGTGCGCTTGTACACTTGTGTGTTTGCGCGTTTGTGTGATTGTGCGCTTGTGCGTTTGTGCGTTGTGAGTTTTTGTGTATGTGTGTTTGTGTGTGGTTGTGTGTTTATGTGCTTGCGTGTCTGTGTGTCTGTGTCAATTGTGCCTGTGTGTCGGTGTGTGTGTGTGTGTTGGTCTGTTTGTGTGTTTGTGTGATTGTGTTTGTGTGTTTGCGTGTTTGCGTGTTTGCGTGTGTGCGTGTTTGCGTGATTGTGCTTGCGTGCGTTACGTATTTCTGTGTGTTTGAGTGTTTGTGTGTGGTTGTGTGTCTGTGCGTTCGTTCGTTTGTGTGCTCATCTGTCTGTGTGCGCGTGGTTGTGTTTGTGTGTGGTTGTGTGTTTGTGTGTGTGTGTTTGTGGTTGTGAATGCCTGTGGTTGTGTGTTTGTGAGTGTGCTTGTGTGCGTGTGTGTTTGTGTGTTTGAGTGTTTGTGTGTTGGTGTGTTTGTGTGTGTTGTGTGGTTGTGTGGTTGTGTGGTTGTGTGGTCTTGTGTTTGTGTGAATGTTTGTGTGTTTGTGTGTTTGTGCGTTAATGTGTTTGTGTGTTTGTGCATGTGTGTGTGTGTGTTCGTGTATGTGTGTTAGTCCGTTCGTATGTTTATGTGGTTGTGTGCTTGGGTGTATGTGTGTGTGTGTTTGTGTTTGTGCGGGTCTTGCTTGCTTGTTCTGACATAGGACCACCACCGAAACCGCTACGAGTACATCCCGTCCCCCTGGACGTTTACTCTCCAAAGGGGGCCTCTAAGGGGCCGCGAGAAGAAAATCTCAGGAAGCCAAGGCTGAGGCACACTGCGCCTGGGTTCTGACGAGAAGAATGGCACTGGTGTATCAATTCTGCTTCTCACGCCCGGGCCCGTCCACCCTTGCACACACATCATATGCAGCACGCACCTCGGCTGAGAAGGCTTCGGACTGAACATCGAACGACTTAGAGTCGGTAAGGCGGCCGAGGCAGCAGTGCTTGACAGCCCAAAACACAAACTCTCGGCGGCAGTCTCCTTCAGCATCGCTTCCATGTACCGCTTCTGCTCGCTGTCTGTGATGCCGTAGTCGCAGACCGCCCGCAGCTCCTGCACCACGCACGCCAGAGCCTGAAGAAGAGCCGTCCGGAAAGCACATAACGCTGGAGACGTGCCCCCTCATCGTGATCCCTCCCAGGCCCCAGCGCACGCGTGATTCATCCATGCTTACTACATGGGTCAAATGGGACTACCAGAGCACAGACAGGAATTCGCTGAAGACACCTGCGGTAATGACAACCATGCGGGACGCCTGCCTCATCATCCTACGCGCGCGGGCTGCCCTAAACGACCCTAGCCCAAGACAAACATTACCATCCCCCAGCGTGCCGCAGGCGGTGAGGGGAATGACCACAAGTTCCATTGAATCCCCTGTGCTGAATGAGGTTCAACTGTTTACTCCGGATCTCATAACAATGGGGGGGGTCTGCTTATGGGGGGGGTCTAACGGGCTTCGTCAAACACAATTGTAGAGGGTCTCGATTTTGGACCCTTTGTTGCCTGTCTGGGGGGGGTCTACTTGGGGGGGGTCCCAGACCGGCCGTCAAACACTTTTTTGACCCCCCCCTGCATTATGAGATGGAGTAGAAGCCCTCGACCCGCAAATGCCGGAACCTCTGAGGGCCAGTCGCACGACTTCCCCAGGAGGCCAGAGGGGCCAAGACGGCCACAGACGATCCAAGCTGGGCTGTCTCTCGGCACAGAAGCGGGAGTCCTCTTGGGCACCTCCTGGGCTGCCTGCCCTCGGGGGGGGCCGGTCGGAGAAGCCAAAATCAATGCAAAAAGGCGCATGCTCTTCAGAATTTGGACGAATGCCCTGCTCTCGGTGCGAAGAGCGCCCAGGACGGGCCAAGAGGCCCCCGAGATCGCCCCAGGACGGCCCCAGAAGCTCCCAAGAGGGCCCAAGATGCCCCCAAGACTGCCAAGAGAGAGGCCCACGAGAGAGACCCAAGAGGGGGAACTCGAACCACCATTGCAAGCCCCCCGCTCCGCGATGGCATCCGAGATCGACAGGGCGCTCCCCGAAGGCCCCAAAGAGGCCTCAAAGAGGCCCCCACCCAAAGCAGGCCTTCGGGAGGCGCCCCAGGAGACCCCAGGAGACACGCAGGAGGCCTCTTTTCCGCAACCCAGGCGCGGTGGCGGGCTTGGCCGAACGGCACCCTATCCGCCGCCCCCTGCGTGCCTTGCCACAGGGGCGCACGGCTTGACAGACGTTAGGTCGGGCATGTCCCCCTACGGGGGGATTTTGGACGACAAATAAAAACACTCAAACAATATTCCAAAATGGTCAAACAAATGATTTTTTAAAAGATAGTCCCCAGGTAATTTGTTTTACTATTTTTGGATATTGCTCCTGTAGAAGGACAGGCCCGATTTAAGACAAACGCTGGGCGATTCAGACTCTTCTAAACCTCCCAACAAGATCTCGGCCCATTCTGCCGGCCGTGCGGAGGGCCGGAAAAAAACCGGGAAAGGAAACCCGAGAACCGCACGCTTCCCGGGTCGACTGGAAACTGCACAGCCCCCGCACCCAAGACTGCCAAGATGACCCAAGATGGCCCGAGTTCGCCCGAGATGGTCCGAGATGGCCTCCGAGACGGTCCAAGACAGTCCGAGATGCCTCCAGGTTCGGCCAAGATGCACCCGCGACGGCCCAAGAGGCTCCCAAACCCTCAAGACGGCCCAAGAGCGCCCCCCAAGACGGCCCAGGAGCACTCCGAGAGACCCTGCAGGAGAGCTCGAGGAGGCCAAAACCATGGATCTCTACAGGTGCGTGACGGACGGAGTTTGAGGCTCTCGCCCGCTGCGGCGCCCGACCCCCCCCCCAGGACGACCCGAGAGGGGCCCCCTTAGCTCCAAGACTGCACGGGAGGCTCTCAAGAGGGCTACACGTCGTTCCATTCTAATCGTGGTCATTTCTAATTGTGCTCGTGTCTAAGTGTTCCTGGCCCCCTGGTGGCCAGGAAGAGGCCCAGGATGGAACAATTAGGAATGTAAGGATCTTGGCCCCCAGAAAAATCAAGGAACTTTCGGAGAATTAGACATGAACAGTGTGTTAAAGTTGGCCCAAGAGGACCCCAAGATCGCCCGAGAGGCCCTCAAGACGGCGCAAAGAGGGCCCCAGGACGGCCCACGAGAGTTCCAAGACAGGCCTAGAGCGCTCCAAGAAGGGCCCAGACCTGCCCCCGAGACGACCCCCGAAGGCGTCAGACAGGCCAAGAGCGCCCAAGGACGGCCCAAGAGGTCCCCAAGAGGCCCCAGGAGGTCCCCAAGAGACCCCCAAGCTACCCTCCCAGGAGGCTGCAGGAGGGCCCCAAAAGGCTCCCCAAGGGGCCTTTTGCTCAGCCTCCTTTTCCTCCCTCTCCTCCTTTTCTCTTCCTCTCCCGAATGTTCCCCCAAGGGGTTCCACACCGGCCAGGGGAACACACAGCCCAACAGCTTGGCCAGGCTTCGGCCCAACGCTTGGCCGCATGGGCATCTTCACAAGACAAGGGGGGGCGGCGTGGCTTCGCCGCGGGCGCCTCCGGTTTCTATTTCGGCGGCGAGCGTGGGGGGGAAGTGAGAAGGGGCGGGTCTTCTCAGAAGGCTCGGAAGCCCCCCCGGCCTCACGAAAAGGTTTCTGAGCCCTCCCCGCGGACGCAGAAAACACCTCTCAGAAGGCCGGGGCGCTTCTGAGAAGCCCCGCCGCCTGCTGAGAAGGCCTTCGCCTTCTCATTTCCCCCCCTCGCTCGCAGTCGATTACTGGCCCCCTCAAGCCGGACCGGGGCGCTTCTGAGAAGCCCCGCCGCCTTCTGAGAAGGCCTTCGCCTTCTCATTTCCCTCTCGCTCGCAGCCGATGACTGGCCCCCTCGAGCCGGCCTGGGGCCCATCCCGGCGGGGCACTTCCCTGTGTGACGGCGCGCGGGCCCCACGCCGGCACACTGGTCCCCATGACAGCCGATGCGATGCCAACCCCAACCCAAGTCTGTCCCGAGCACAGCCGTTGAGCCTTCGTTTTTCTTGTGGCATCTTCGAGCCCAGTCATCAGGGCGCAGTCGGTCTTGCACAGAGGGGGAAAGGAGGAGGAGGAGGAGGAGGAGGAGGAGCAGGGGCGAGCTCCGCAGGCTCGCGCGGACGTCACAGCGGACCGCTGATGACGCCGCCGGCGGTGGTGACGGCGGATCCCGCCATCAGGGGAAGACCATCTCCCTTGGGCCTTCCCAAACGACCCTAAGAAACATCCAGGAGGATTCGGGCCCACGTCAGCGTCGTCGTCTTCGCCGCCACCACCGCCGCCGTCGTCGTCGTCCCCATTCAGGACCAGCGGCACCGGCCGTGAGGCCTTCGCAATCTGTCCCGAGCACTATCCTTGTGAAACAGCGCTTCGCGAAAAATGAGGCGCCAACCCCCAGGACGACAGATAGAAACAATCCCAACATGCGCTGTTCACGTCGGAAAAAGCACGCGTGAGTGAGCTACTCCATCATGTCCGCGTGCATCCAAACAACTAGACTAAACACCTGCGCGCTGGAGCAACTGATAATGATGACGAGATGGCGGTTCGCGGGCCAATGGTAAAACATGACTTGTCGCACATAGGTTGCACCACACTAGATTGCACAATATAATTTGCACAATGTATTCGATTTCGCAAAATTTATTGCACCATATAGGCTGCGCCACATATATTATTGCTTATTTGGATAAAAATGTTTCTCCCACCCACCCGGGGTTGTCAGCTCCCTTTCTCATACGATAATGTACATACGATTCTGCCCCATCGCCCATCCGAAAGATGAACTCATACCATTCCAGGCAGGCCGGAATCAGCCCCCTCTCTTCCTCTGGAATAAGCGATATGCGCGAATGATCAGCTGTCAACAAATCCTTAACCCCCCCCCACCCCCCACCCCAAAAAAAAAACTAAGTGCACGCGCTCGCGCGTCGTCGCTCGCGCATGCCGAAATCTTTCAGTCACCGGAGGTTCCGCCGGGATTTCAAAATCGAGTGTCCCGAGAACATGTAAAAGCACATGTTTTTCACAACAACCTTTCGTTTGAAACAAAATTCGATTGTCAACCCAATGCTACTAAACATGCCTCTCGCGCGCGCGTGTCGAAATCGCTCGAACGCCCTCGCGCGCGCGTTGTCGTAAAAATTCCGGGCGAAAGCGGGACGACGTGTACGCGCGCGCGTCGTCGCGCGCGCATGCGGATATCCATCAAAAACATCCAATGTCGCAGGGATTACAAAATCGAGGGCCCCGAATTCTTCATTTGCTTATTACATGTTGTGCAACATCAGCTGCCAAACATGCCTGCGCTCGCGCGCTTGCGACATGTTAAGAAAACCACATGTTGCTCTCAACCTTTGAATTTAATTATGCCAAACGGGCCTCCCGCGCGCTTGCAAGTGTCATTCGAGCGCCCTTGTGCGCGTGCTGGGGGGGGGGGGGGGGCCGTGTCGAATAACACCATGCGCGCCACGCTCGCGGGTCGGCCGCGCGCAAATGCCGAACTGCTGCCAAACCCTGCATCATCGACGCGAGGGCGCCGTCATCGTCGTCGGCGCGATCAACATCGGAGCTGCCATTGGCCTTGCCGACGTCGTTGTCACCACCGTACCATCATCGCGTCTACCCCTGTCGACGTTGCCACGATACCGCGCCCGCCCGAGTCACCGAATCGCACCGGAGTGCCCGCTGGGAAGTGCCCCGCGGTCAGCGCCACCGCGGCCGCGTCGGCCGCGCCAAACTAGCTGGCCGCTTCGCGCGCGAGCACGCGCGGGCCAGCGCGGCCGAAGAGGTGCACCAGCCAACGCCAAGCACCCATCGCAGTCGCCGCCGCATGAATGTCGCCGGCCAAGTTGCGGGCGGGGGGGGGGACGGTTGCGCGAGCAGCGGAGTCGACAACTCGCCGCGAACAAAAATTCAGTCTCCTTTCCTGGGAAAAAAAACAGATTCGACACCCATCCCCCCCAGACTTATCCGTTGTTGGCTTCGCTTGCGAATTCAAATATGATCCTGACCCCCCGTCCATCCGAAATACGAGCTCACACTATCCAAGCCCGACCGGCATCGACCTCCCCCGCAA